CAGCACATATTCATATTTGCCATTCAATGGCGGCATTCTGCGCTTATTTCTTTACACCCACCAAAGGCCTTGTGCATAAACCAACGTGGTTGCATGGCTCTCCCATCATCAAGTAACGGGAATGGTTATAAGATTAATTATATTACAAGATTAATACTACAGCATAAATTTGCATAATGACTATCAAACATTCATATCTCATTTTAAAAATAAACACACAGTGCTGAGCTGTGATCAGCAGAAAATAAGGAATGCAAACCATTACACATTAAAATATTTGACTATTCTTATGATGAAATACTGAGGAACTGAAGTACTAAAATAAATCAAATATTAAAGTAGTAGTAGTAATAATAACAATAATAATGTGCACATTCTAAAAGGGTAAATAGTAATCACAATACAGTGAACTTTCTCCAAGATGACAGCCTATTATTTGAGATAATTTGATCTTTATATTCTCTGTATAGAAATCTTCCATTCATACCAACACAAAGATAGCATATATTTTAGCAATTACTAATTTATGTAATTGATTTACCATAATCTTGCAGTCTATTAAAGAAAAATATTGAGTACGATGTAATGCATAATAATAATTAAAATCTGAATTAAAAAAATATCTGAAAGGTTCAGATTTTAACAGTCACCCAAATGGCTCTTTTGGGTGGTATGTTCAATATGGTTTATCAGTAGAGATTAGCGATAGAGAATATTCAGGTGGAATAGTAAAACATTTTAAAGGATATTAGATAAATATGCATTTAGATTAACTTGGGAATGTTATATACATTTTGCATAATAGTGAAAAATATGTAATGTAATTCTACAAAATATTTAAATTAATATTTTTAATTAATTAATTAAATTAATATATCATTAAAAACATCCTTTTTCAACTTTCAGTAGTATTACCCATTTTTGGTGCATTTTTCAGTACACATATAACAATAAATAACCTACATCTATACCCACAACATTCATGTTTGAGTACAGAAGGATTTACATGCTTTATATTTAATGGTCATTTCTCTAAACAATATCTACTTGGCAGTAAAAATGTAAACATGTTTTTCATTAACTGTCCAACCCTGAGAAGAATCACCTGGCAATGCACAATGTTGCCAGAATTGGCAACCCAGAACTTCATGAAAATATGTTTATCTGGCAACCCATTAAGGTTGCACATACATTACACAAGCACAATTCAACTTCTGAAATTTGATGTCATTTTCACAGCTGCTATTTATTAGCTGTTCTTAGATGATTGTGATAATAACGATTTTTTGAATTTATGCAGTTCTTTCTCTTCTTCCCCTCCCTAAAGTGATAATAGCTTTTTACAACTTAAGCAATTCTTTTTTTTTTTTTTTTTTTTTTTTTTAGTTAAAACAGATCAATGCATACATGGGAGAAGTGCAGGGAGAAAAAGGGTTAGTGTTTTATTATGGAAGCTTCTTTCATTTTTAAATTAGACTTTTGTTGCTGTTTTATGTAATTGCTAGTTTTATTATAGATGTTTGCTTATTCAGATTTACATTATGGATATTCCTTTTAACTTTAATTTTGTTAATTTTTGTAGTGTTATGTAATTTTCAGCATGTTGCCTTTTTTTAAAAAAACAGTTACTCTTTTCCACAACTAAGTTGACAAAAATTTAGTTGCCAACAACTGGAAATTTTGTAGGAGAGTTAGGAAGTTAATCAGAGAGTACCGAATTAAATGCTTATTATACAGATTTTTTCATTCATATTTTTTTTTCCTTATAAAATGCTTCTTTTATTATTATTTATGAATAGAACGCTGCCTATGAGCCGTAAAGATAGCCAAACATGTTTTTTGCCAATTTACAAGTGTGCCATAAAATTGGCAATTTTTTGTAGAGGTGTGGATAATTAGAAAGTACCATGATTTAATTATTTAAGATGTAGCTATGTACCCATTCATTGGATTACTCACAGATGAGGTTTTTAAAAATTCCTTTGAAGTTAAAAAAAAAAAAAAAAAAACTTTTCCATTAAAAACATAGCATGCATTTCCGGCACCATGTTGGAGAATTCTGGCATGATAAGAACTTTGACACGATAGAACAATCAAGAGAAGCGCCAAGGAAACATTCTTTAATTTTATAACAAAATCCTCCCCCTTTTTTTTTTCGAGAAGAACATTACCTATCTCCTCCATAAAAGAGCTTTCATCAATTTCTACAATTCTGTAGCATACACTAATTATAATGTAAGAATGAGATATCAGAAATTGGTATACATCGCTCATCTGTAATTATTCCAATTACCCTATGTGTTGTCATTCATTTGAAATAAGCTTTAATTTTCAAAACTCAATGGACATTAACTGTTGATGTCATAAGTAAATTAATTGAGAGCAACAAAAGAAATGCATGAACAGACAAACTACGTTCATGTTTGGATATCATTTTATTCCTGTCACAGATGAAGACAGCTTAGACATTTCGGCTTTGAATCACAATTAAATTTGATTATGTAATTATTCAAACATAATCTTTCTTTGGGAAGAATATCTCTTTCTCGAAGAAAACGGTAGCTATAGCAGCTTGTTGAACTTTTGGAAAATCACAAGTCATTAAATCCATTTCAGTTAAAGAAGAAAAAAAAAATATTAGATGAGAAGTGTTGCTAAGCTAATGAGTGTTATGAAGACAATTGTAATTATCCCCACAAAAGAAGCAAAAACTAAATTGGCAAGACCTGACACTAATAAAATATGCAACCCACCCCCAAAAAAACACCATCAAGTGGTATAGCTTTAATGGAAAAGTAATTACTTAACTGTCACAGAATTCATAGCCACATTTTAGTTAAAAAAAAAAAAAAAAAAAAAAAAAAAAAGCACTGTCTAATTACATTATACACAACTGCATAACCTTAAAAATTAGACTTCGTAATTTAAAATATGAGAAATGCAGTAGTATTTATTAAGAGAGAATAAGCATTACCTCAACCATGAAAAATAATTACTTTTTTAAAATTTTAAATAACAGTTCAATTTACAGAACTAGTTTACAATGAGAGTAAAAAAAAACTATGCTGAACTAAACTACATTACAAGATTTAATGATGAAATTTCAGTTCAAAATAGAGGAAATAAATAATAAGGCATATTTATTCTATTCGCTTGGAACTTAATAATAAATACAATTTATTTTTCCACTCATATTGATATTTAACTAATTTAAATCTAAATTCTGAACATTTTCTAATCGTATATCAGTTTTCCCTTAACAGATATTGCAAGCAAAGTAATTTAAGTAAAAAAGAGGAACATTTCTGAAATCAGAAGACAGAAATTTGTTTCATGCAGTTATCCTTCAACAGTAAAAGCTTAACTACCCGCATACTTGAAAATTGGCGAATATTCGGACAGTCGAACGTAACTTGAAAAAGAGAAGCGGAGGGGGGATAGACTGTAGCCGTTCTTTAGATTTTTCCGCTAAATAAATGCTTTTGACATTTCGATATGTGAATCATATAAAAACAAACCAACGGAACAGAAATATATTCTGCTTTGCAAGCACAGTAAAACTCTCTTAAGTGTTCATAAACAAAAATCTCGGACCGAAAATCAAAATTAATTATCTCTGCAAAATATGGCAAACGTTATTGTGCAGTACGTGCACCGTAATTCTTCCCCATGATATTACGCAATCGGATTCAACAGCTGCCGGTATTGGGAGAATAAAGAACTAAAGGAAAAGAAAGAGACTTATCAATCTGGGGTGTTTTTCACTCTAATTTTCAACAGACTGTGTTAAATTTCCGGAATAGAATCATTCTTTGCTTGGGTTGGTAGACCACAGAACTTTTAGTCCTATTCAATCCAGATTGGAAAGTGACCAAAAAAAAAAAGTCCGTAGCTTGTTTTGCAGCGAACTGTAACAGTTTCAATATTCGAGATTTTGCGGAGAAAGGTGAGAACTTCCCAACCTTCGTACTGCATAATGTATTGGCCAAAAAAATGAAATTATTTTGACTATTCGATTACTTTCCCTTTATTTAAGCCATTCCGAATATTATTCCTTAGAAAGCCAATCTGTGTTAAAATACAACCATTTTTAGAAGTTTACTATACTTCAGCAGTTACTGCAACTATGTTATTATAAACATTCATGCATATGCTCATAATATAAGCATAACGATCATAATAAACAAGAATATGAACTGACCAAGCGGAACGAGAATGCAAATTATTAAGATCTTGATAGAAATTCAAACGTGTGTAGTATTTGGGTGGGAGGAAAAGAATGCCGAATGTACCGTAATTTTCTACTGCTTTCGCAATTCTTTGACCAACAGAACGACGGGCACCTGTCTGTACTCTCCGCGCACACCAAAGGTTATGTTAATGCGGAGAAAGAGGGAAAAGCTATTTCCGGGAGTATGATTCACCATCTGACATTCCATATTGGGAAGAAAAGTTGTTTATTTAGTTTTGGCTTTGGTACGGGAAAAAATTGCGCGTTCATTAAAAAAAAAAAAAAAAAAACACTAAAAGCAAAAAATAAGCACTAAAAACAAAAAAAAATAAGGGCTTTAAAGAAAAGGTAAGCACCTATAAGGGCCTTTATATTTTATTTTCAAATATAAGGACTTATAAGCACTTATAAGGACCGCTACGAACCCTGTATCAGACATATTTTTAATAATGACGTTAATTATAAGAAACAGATTATATGTGTAAAGCACTCTCCTTCCACCACTAAAATTATATAACGCATTTTATTTAGTAATTTTCAAAACAGTCACTGTTTATCAAACTAATCATTCAATTTATTCCAGTTATTTGATTTTCTTGTTTCAGTTAAGTATCAATACTTATCTATGGTCTCAGAAATACTGGCCACTTTCAGAAACTTATTTTTAGAGAAGCAGTTCTCACTATTCAGATTAGAGAATATTCTCTGTTTACAAATATATATACACACATATAATTCTCACCATTTACAATTTAACAATTTTACTTACATTATCTTCTTCCTCAGATGAAGTATCAAAAATATTATCTAAATCATGAAAAGACACTGCAAGATCCTCTTCACGAATAAACTTTGAACAGAATATTTTATTTCCTGGCGGTGATGGTGTTTTAGCATGTTCATCATTTTGTGAAATTAAGGCTTCTTGAGGTTGAGCAGGAGCCACTGATACAGTGGGAGATGGCACATTTAATGGGGAAGGCATATGAGATGTTAGATGCTTGTCATCCTCCTATTGAAATAATCAAAACAAAACAGTCAATATTGATCCAGAATCTCATTGCTTAGATAGTGATTAGCTTTTTAGAAAACTTCTCCAAAGAAGAAAAGCGTAGAGCAAATATATTTACTATATTTGCTACAATTTGTCATTATCTACAAAATTATACTTCATTGAGCATCCAACAACTACGGCTGTAGAGTCAGAGTCATGGAGTCGGAATCAGGCAGATTTTGGAGTAAAAGGAGTCGGAGCTGGAGTTGCTAAAAACAGGTTGACTCTTGACTCCAGTTTTTGTTGGACAGTTTGAATTTGAAATGAAATTAAGATGAATTGAAAAAAATTAATGACAAGCTGAATTATTATTTTTATTTATGGACTATATACATTAATAAATAGTTATTTTCTATTTTATTGAAATAGTAATAAATAAATATAAGGGAGGAGGATGGATGTGATATTTGCCATTAGTGATTAAACTAATTCATTTAGTTACAAATCTCACTGGCAAATTTAGGCAAGCAGCAATAGCAGCAAGAACTCCCAAAATTGATATCATTCTTAGGAAGCGAGCAGTAAAAGGAGCAATTATTGATCAAGCAACATGATAAGGAAGTACACATTTCATGATAAAGAGGTTTTTAGAATAAGAGCTTTTTTAGAAGATGTAGATAACCCTAATGTTTCACTAACAGAAAGACTGTGGAGTCACCTTGCAGAATTGGAAACTATTCTTTCTACACTGTATATATCCACACAAAAAGCTGCAATCTGAAGAATTAACAGGAGGCAAGAATGGAAGAATGGGATGTTTGTCCTTTCTGAAATGGAGGGGTTATTGCAGATGGAATCATTTCCTCAATGAAGAAAAGAGAAACTAGTTTGCTAGACAATGAGATCTTGCTGGGTTCAATATATGTAGATACAAAACACCGAATTTTCTTGGATGATGAACAAATTAAAAGGCAAAGAAAGCCACCTATAAACATTCACTAAGAATGAAATTATTCTCAGAACAATTGAAGAATTCAAAACAGGAAAGTCACACTGTAGACATTGCAACCGGAGGTCTATAATCCCCTTCCAGTGATGAATTAGTTTTTGAGAAATATTTTTGGATAATATTGAAAAGGCTAAGGCAAACTGAATGAAAATAAAGAACCAAGAGCCTTCAGATATAAAAATGAAAAAACGCAAACAAGATTTCTACACAGCCTTTGAAGAAATAAAGAAATATGATTGCGCTTCCAAGACACCCTTTTTAAGAACTTATGAAAAATCTATCCTGAAAAGTTAAAAGAATTAGCTCTAAAAGTAACAGCCTTCTTCCTACTCAAGTTAGTGTGGGAAAACTCTTCTCAGCTATGAAGTTTATCAAATCGGATCTATGACCCTCCAACAAAGAAGATCTTGCCAAAGCTATACTGTTTCTTAGAAATAACTAATGCCAGTTTTTCCATTTCATAATAATTTGCTATGCCACCAATTTTTTTTCTGTAGTATTTATTACTTCTTTTATATTAAAAAATAAGCTGTAACCCATGTGTATATGTTTACATATATACATGAGGGAGTCGGAGTCTTTAAAATTCCAGGAGTTGGTCATTTTAATTACAGACTCCACAGCCCTGCCAACAACGAATAATTTTTTCACTGAACGTTAAGTACTTCAATCTGAAAACATACATTGCAAATGCAGTACGTAATACTAAATTACAAAGTTCTACAGATTACAAAACTGTAATTATTTAAATACGAAAAGCAGCTTTAAATACTATAAATATTACTTTAGCAATTCAAAGACTTCACATTTTTATTCAAATTATTACCTTATGGGCAAATTTCAGGTTTCAATTTTTTTTTCCTTCAAAAATCTTAATTGTATTTAATTAGCCCCCTTTTTACTTTTATTATATCGCTCATTTGAACTTATTTGAAATACAGGAATGTAAAAGTTTCAAATCTTTAACATGCAGACATAATGCTAAACTAACCCACCTGCTGACAAAAAACAGTATTTACTCTATTACTTGTAAACAAATGTAGTATGGTTTATACAAGACAGACTACAAAAAATCGTAATTTAAAAGTTAAAAATTTCAGATCTCAAATTTTAAAAATTCACTCTCTTCATCTCAACCTTCACGAGTCACAGGAGAAATAGAACATTTTAAAATTCAGAGTTTTAATGATATTTCAATTAATATACGAGGTATTCAATGAAAAACTATTACAGCAACTACAGGAAGCAAAAAGAACATTATAAAAGCTGCCATAAATCTCCTAAATTTCAGCTCCCGATCTTAAGATTTATTTAATTCTGCAGATTTAACTAAAAATCTTGTTAAATTACACCTTTATCAATCAGTCAACTATCACAACTTCAACATTACTTCAAGGATACTTTCCACGGCTTTTCAATTAATAAAGACCTAGTATCAGATTTTATTAAATTTATTAAATTTAAAATTATAGTATCCTTTTCCTGCAATTGATTGAAAGACTTAAGTCTATTTCCAGTACAATAAAACACTTAGTAACTCGCTTTCCAACATCATGAGCTGGACTTGGAAGCAACTTGATATCGTAATGATATAGTATTTGCTCCCTTTTTGGGTTCTCATCATAAGCACATTCTTACTGGAAATCTTGAATATAGTTGATCCAGTTGAACTTCCTTAAGACAGTTTATAAGAAACAGAGTATTAAATTTATGCCAGTTAGTTCTGTTAACATTAAAAGTGCTAAAGATAGCATTGATGATTTCATTTTTAAGACCAGTTATAAACTCTGCCATCTTACTCAAATTTTCATGGAATGGAAAAGTACAACTCTGAACAATGTCTAACTAGCACTCACAGTTTTAAGGGTTTTATTCTTTGCCAAAAGCTCAAAAAGAAAATTTCTGATCTTAAGGCTATATTTACTAACAGACATAGCCAGTAATTTCAGCATCACCTGTAAGAAATTCTACAGCTCTTACTGAATCCTTACTATACAACCAGTTTTATCTCTTGCATTACAAAAAGTAACAAAAGAACGATAGGCAGTAAACTTCCTGCGTTTCACAAGAAGCTTAAATTACCACTAAATTCGGAGTTCAATCAATTTTCTGATATACACTGTCTAAGTTTCACAAGGGCCTAGTCAAGTTCAGATTTATTGCTAAAGACACCAGGAACCACAAAAAAAGATATGAATTTTTTTTTTCCCCTCTTAAACAAATTTGTCAACTTATTTTTGAAAGTGCACGTAAAGAAAACCACTTCAACTGGATCTTTTATAATAACCTTCCTTACACTATTAAATTATTGACCTCTTTAATAGCTTAAAACTGTTAAAGAGGTCAATATACTTAATATCAATTTCTATGACTCTGAGAATCTTTATATACCACTGACGCTGATATAAATTTACAGCAATTTTATGTAGTATAATTACCTGCATTATTTTCAAAAATGTTTAAAATTTTAGACACTATTAGCTGGAATCAATATCTCAACTGCTCCCTTTATCACAATCATATTAAATTTCAAGACACTATTTTTCTACAAATTAATGATATCCCTATGGGAATAAATTATTCTACTCAAATATGTAACCTTTACTTATTTACTAAAGAGTATAGATTTCTACATTCATTTTCTTTTAACAATTTTTTTTTACCTACAAATACATTGATGACATCATAACTTTCAACAATTTTAATCTTATCGAATCTAGCAACCCCTTCATGTCACCTGACTGTTGATCAGAGCTTACCATTTTTAATTCCATGAAGTAGAACTTTTTACAAAAAAAGAAGATATCGATTTTCAAACAATTAAGCTAATTAATCAAACATTAACATTTTTAAAAATGTTATAGAAAATATTTATAATCAATTAGTTTACATAAAAAATATCTGCACAGAAGTCAAGTAACTGCATCAAGAAATTTTACTACTTCCTCAGACCTTGACTAATAATCAAGTTCTGAAATATTATATAAAACAACTTAAAAAAACTGACATCATCTACAAACTATGAATATTTTTTTACATAATGAAGGCCATTTTTAAACTGCGAGGGGAAATGAGGTAAATAGGTGAGAAAACATTATTAGTGTGTAAAATATGTAATACAGTCAAAAGTCGTTAATTCGGAGACCCATAATCCGGAATGATCTATAATCCGGACCTCAAAGCTACGAACTTTCTGCACATGCGTTGCATTGACGCATGCGCATAGGCGTTTACGCATGCACGTAAAACCTTTACGGCTGCTTGATGCTAAAGCAAAGTTTAAAGTTTATAAAATTAAACATTTTTAGCAATAGTAGCAATAAAAGCTCCCTGAGATAATATGTTGTGCAGACATTGAAGACAAAAAAGAAGTTTCCAACTTAACCATTTTATTAACAATATAATAAAGAATAAAAACACAGAAAATAAATTTAAACAATATCGGAGTCTTAGGAAAAATATAACTATCATTCATCAAATAATATTTTTACCTGGTCTCCAAAAACACTGGCATTCAATACAAACAAAAAGTCCTAACAGTAATTATGCGGCCTAAAAATGAAGTTGGCTACACAGTCAAAACGTCCCATGATCAATGGTTGAGAAAACACCTGAAATTTTAAATGAAGTTCTTGAAAGCACTTCAAAATCGGCCTAACTGCGTTTGCGTAGTTGAACACAAGGAATCGCCGCTCACGTATTTTAAATGCCATCTTCATTGAAGAACATGGATGCCGCCCACGGCAGTCACTCACATGTAGCGCCTCTGGAAACCAAGGAAATCATTCTGGACAATCATCTTGTGATATGAACCAAGAAACTCATTCTGGAACACCATCTTGTACACAGGAACCAAGGAACTTTATTCAGGATCAGTCATCTTGTGAACAGGAACCAAGGAACTTTATTCAGGACCAGTCATCTTGTGAACAGGAACCAAGGAACTTTATTCACCGGACTGCATGCATCCTTCTGAAGGGGCTGGAAACGGCACACTCAAGTGCCAGGA